TTGTCACATCCCACTAACCTACATGTAGCTCAGTGACTCAGGACATGAAGGAATACTGTAGCCATACTAAACCAACCTGTCTAGCTGATGTACATGTACCTGAACTGTTAAGGTACTGTACATTACAAGTTCCTTACAATTATGAAACATTGACTTTATACATGTTATACATGTAAAGAATTCTTAGTAATTAGTAAACGACCATTTCCTAATGATATCAACCTTCAACTGTCAGGGCTCTTTGGTATCATCTATTAAAATTTTGCCATATAATTACTTGATTATCACATTTTGTGTGATTTTTACAGGGCCGTCTGATCTTATCCAATAAAATTGCGCGTATGATAGCCTTCATGTATGTAATGATCCTACACATACTGGTATTCTTGGTGCTGTATAAGATGGCATATACATCAGCTTGCAAGAGGGACTTAGCTGCTGAATGCTACCACCAGTAAGTATTACGATTAATTAAAGACCCTTAATTTTATTCCCATGAGTGGCCTTATAAGTTTGTAGGAACAGTAAACCCTCGATTGTATCAGATATTACCTCAAAAGATACATTTTCCACATGTACGTCTAAGCAGGGTCATATTTCATTTAGGGTTTATTGTTAGTGTTTGTTGTTTTTAAGACTTCAGAAGATTTTTCAAGATGTATTTAATTATGCTGTTGCTTTTGTGCAAACAGCCAGCTTTTCATTGACAGAAGATGATTGTGACATCTACAGACCACATGCTTGCATGTTGATAATAGCCTGTTTGTTCTACTTAATTTGTTCCTTGAATTTTTTTGGAGGACAATTTTATTTAAATTAATTCTTTTATCAACAATACTACCTCCCTATTCTACCCCCACCGTACTCCATAATTCGTGTACTTAATTTTCCCCCGTCATCAGTTTTTACATTATTTTCATGTTCAGGTTTCAAGAACACATGAATCATTTCCACCCAGGAGACAAGGTACTACAAAACATGATGGAAGGTCTTGGAAATGGTTGATAATGGCCAATCAGTTGCCTAGGCCAATTTTGAATAGCAACCGTTTATTGACCACTTGTTTCCCCCAGGTACCAGGTAAAACCATTGTAAGACTGTCACTGATCAAACTTGGCCCTACCTGTATTTGCATGTATAGACAAAACCAGTGATCATTGAAATGGTGTAACTGGTCACTTGTAGTGGTTCTCACCAATTGCGGTATCACAGGACCTGTTTCTTTCACATGCATCTTGATCAGTGATCCTTATGCTAGATGGCACCATCCATTAAGCAGGTTTTGGTGTCTGTAAACGTATGCGGATCACTGATGGTCATCCAGATCATAATTATTGTATGGAGCCACCATTTTGTGACGTAATACTACCATTAAAGATGGCCATCGGAAACGTCAAGTGAAATTTACACTATGCGTTCATACAACAGTGTGCATAATTGTAGCAACATGTATGAAGACTTTAGTGTCGCCATGAGGTGGTATTGGTACTTGGTAGGGTAATTAAAGCTCTCTTCATGGGCAGGAGGACTGCACACAACACCTGCAGTCAATAGTGGATGGTTCAAATAATTGTCAGGAACATTTGTGGAGATAGGGGTGTCCCTTGCAGCATTCGTATATATACTTTTACATTAACATTATATTCAGTGACAGTAACAGTCCCATTAATGGGCTTCAGGCACCGGACTGCCTCTGTACCGTTGGTCCTACATTCGTGTGATATAAAAAGTGGTCAGACACCGACCAAATTAATTTTTTTGAAATCTGCTCATTTTGTCACATTCGGAAGTACCATTAACTTCTTAACACCAAAGGAAGCATTCGCTGCTAGGTGACAAGTTTTCAAAACCCCTCATTACCTAGAAATTTGGAAGATAATTTCACTGCTTTGTAGGCGTCTTACATTGTGACCAGGCCTATAAAAACTGCCTGTAAGGCCAGTACTGGTAAGGTGTGGACTTCTGACTGGGACATGGTAGTGTGATTTCGTTCTCTATGTATTTGCTTTGGTTTTCTGAAAGTTAAGTTTGTTAATTTGCACCACCAGCATGTTTCTGGAACAGTTCAGTGGCCTATGCAGTCTTAATGTACATGTATGTATGTTTGAATTTATTACTCCTTTTGTCTTTCCTGAAGTTTGCCACCTTGCCCTGACTACGATGTTGTTTCCCCGTAGTCATCCCCTATCCACTCACTGGCACATTCTTTGCTGTACCGTGGAAAAAAATGAACAGATTAAAAGAATGGATTTGGTTGACATCTGACCACTTTCATGAGCGTGGAGCCCAGGGTACGGAGGCAGTTTAGTACCTGGTCCCCATTTATGGGGTTATGACCGTAATAAAAGGCATGATGGTTTAGAAATATGGTGCATTTTCCTTTCAAAACTGTAGTGATTGGTTTGGCAGGCTTTCATGTTGCTGTAGCTGTGTCATTATTTGTAAATAAAATTAGAATTTCTCAGTAATTTGGAGCAAACATCCATAGACAGCTTTGAGTAATGTTTATTCAGTAGTTTGTGATGTTCAACCAGTCCTTAAATTTACTTCATTATCAAGATCAAAACACACTCAATATCCCTATTTCCTTGTACATTTACTGTAAAACTGACATTGTTGCAAACAGTCGAGTAAAAGCCATGCTTTTTGTAGTTACTAATTTTAATTCAACCGTGCCACTTTATAAATGTAGAGAAATACAAAGAAGAGATTTTGCAGACAACACTGGTTCACACATACAGGTATTAATCCTCATGCATGTGCATGGTTTCCTACTGGTTCTCATTTTTTTTTCAGAAATGCATTGTTAACATTCAAAATGTTTTACATTATTTAAATTACCTACATGCATTAAATCTTCATGCACATGTTGTATCTAAATTACTGTATGCCGTACTTCAGCTTTTAGGAAAATTAAATCTTTCTTTTGAATTAATACTGCGTGTGATGAGACTCTATCTTTTACATTTTTGGAGTCAACATGCCTAAGCAACAGTGATGTACTTTTTTAGTCTACACAGTCTAAGTTGTCAATCTTAATTCGTGAGCAAAAAGTAATATATTCGTCTTTCCGTACCCTCATGTCAGATTACTACAATCAAAGAAAGGTGTTAACTCCTCAGCAGAAAGTGTTTAGTCTTGAGGATCTTGCAGATAACATAACCAGTTTTGCATGCAACTTGGACCATGACAAAATATGAGGAAATTCCAGTCTGTACAAGCTTTGTTCAGTGTTTTTGAATTTCAGTGACATGAGTGGGAAGTTAAAACGAGGAAATCAGCCGACTGGAGGAAAAGTTGCATACCTAACTAATGAAACAGGTTATGACAGCATTCTATACTTGTGAACTTTAGAAAGTATAGAAATGTACAGAATGTTAACTAATTGCCATTTACCACCTGTCAGTGAAGTTTCAATATTTGTCCAAACAGTTTTTATACAGGTTTCTACTGCCTATTAACTTAAAAAAGCAACTCATGCAAATTTCTGAAACAAAGCAAACCTTTAAACATTCACAAAACATGGTAACTTAATTGAAACTCATTTTCAACAATAAAACCAAAGATCATGCTCAGTTAAACAAATGTGGTTAAATGTTACTTGTTACATGTAGATTGACTTAGAGTAAGTCAAGTTTTTCCATTCAGTCTGAAATATGAAGATGAAACCAGACAGCATTTGCAGATATCAGTACATTTAAAAGAACCATGTATTTTGCTGATGCACAACCTTACTGAAAACCGCCTACATGTATGTACAACGGTAGAAATGAAACATGCAAAAACATACTGTTTGGTAAAGAGTCTATATACATGTACAAGATCATGATAAACATTTTTACATGAGTGCCAACACAAAACTCAGATGAGAATATTAGTCTTAAGATGATGTTTCTATCAATAACTGGACCAGGTGACTCAAATGAGTAGTTCCCTCAAGGCAGACATGTTTGGATCAAAATCACTTGATGCAGGAATTTTCTCCATTAACTGTAAAATACAAACAAATGAAAAAAGATCGCTAACTTTACATACAATGCAGTTGAGAAATCAGGGTTGAAACTAGGGAAACAATGCTATCACTATTTCAGCGAAGCAAACCTTAAGAAGGTTTGAACAAGGGACCCTACCAATACTACCATTCCTTATGTGACCTTGGGCCAATAATTGGACAACAGCTGATTTTGATAAGCTTATTTGTCCTTTTTTCACACCTGCCAACTTCGCAACATGACGGCTGTAGAAATCAGACATTTTCCTTTTTAAATTCATGGCGAAGTTCGTTCTCTCAGATTTTGTCCAGACTTTTCATGGTATGTTGATACTTAGCACATAAATGTTTGCAGTGGCTGATGAGCAACAAACAACATTATGTTACATTATGAAATGTGGACGTTATTTTCTTGGTACAGTATTTTTTGTTTTGGCATGTGAAGTGTTCAAATGTTGCATATTTTTCCAGAAATGTAAGAGTAACATGTGCATGGTATTATGACTGTACTGATATTTTACAAAATCCATGTTGTGGAACAAAATTTTTTACTTCAGTACTGATCCATTCATTCAAATGAAAAAATGCGGAAAATCGTGACAGGTTGTTGAGTAAGGTTGTTTTTGTATTGAATATTATGACTGGCAGTCACCTGTTTGCAGTGATCAAATAGTTCATCCAGACGATACACTTCAGCATCTGCCTTATGCCAATTGTCTTCCAACACACGCATCTGAAAAGATAATCCAATTCCAAATCGTTTAACATTATTCAGAAGTAAAACAGGTTTTTCGATTTATAAGCACATGTCCTGACCTAATACATGTACAAGTGAAATGAAGTTGCTAATCCAATTTTAATTTACTCAAATAGAACCTCTGTCCAATTTAGGGCAAGTTAGAGCAACAACTGAAGTTAACTTATTCAGCAATTGTCACTCAAGCAAACAATCTATTCTAGCATTTGGAACCAGGCCATAGGATACACCTTCATCAATAGTCTTTTCACAGTCAAGTACACATAAAAGTAAAGCACTGACCTGAAATCAATTGAATCAGGTGAGAGAGACTTTTAAGAAAAGGAGAGTACAAAATGAAGTTGGGATTTGCAAAAATGGTTTGATCAGCTTGGTTTGAGTGGGATAGTTCTACAGGTGCACATTAATAAGAATGGTCAGTGGTCGAACTGTATTGAGAAGTGATTGATCAGTGGTCTAAAAGCGTAATCACGGTACAACTTGCCCCTGGCTGTTCTAAATTTGTTCGATACATGTACAAAGATAACAATAACCCTCACTGGCGACTGGCCATTTCAACTACATGTTAGTGCAGAACGCTGACGCAAAGACTATACATTCAAATACAAATAGCCCCATCCTTTACACCTAAGAGCCTACATATATACATGTATAATGTTCCCCAGTGACATCATTGCTATATAAAACACCCCATCCATTTTCAATGCACAGATTCTATGGGCAATGCCACTCATTCTGTAAGCAGGCACAGAATCTTTGTTTTACTTACATGTTTGGTAGCTCGTGTGTTCAGTCTTTCATAGTGTTCCTGACGATCAACCAAGTGAGCACGCAACTTTTCTAACTGCAAAATCAACGTCAGACCTCAAAAAATTACAAGAAACTTTGATGTACACTATCACCATCATGCAGTTTTCATTTTACACTTCCCTGTTTGCCACAAAAACTTTGAATAAATAATTTAAATACCTACATCAATTTTTAGAGTATGTTTACCAGAAAAGAAACTAGATGTCTGCAAGAAGAAGCCAGCAAGGAAGATTATAGGATGGAGGGAATTTTGCCCTGAGATTGAAGTCTCAACAGTGAGACATCTAAATACCCTATTTTAATTTGTAATGTTAATCAACTTTAAGACTACGTTTTTCATCTGTGACTGGTTACCTCTCCATCATTATTGGGATTGAAATTGCTGTGCCATCAGTTTGAAGAACACTGGTTTGAAAACTCCTTAACAAGAGATTTCTTACCTCTTTTTTGAGGCTGAGATTTTCCCTCACTAGATCGCTGTTAACTGCTAGTGGCTGTGATGTCATTCCTTCATCTACTGCATCTTCATTACTGGATTGAGAACAGCCTAACAAAATGGTGTCTAGTTGTTCTTGCAATAGGCTCTTCTCCCTCTGGGCAATTCTCAAAGTACTTGTTAGTTTGGCAGTCTCACGCTGGAGTTTCTGTTTTAATAGCAAATAGGAACTTTATGATGACACCAGGGAACACTCAAACTATAAAGAGGACTATTTATGAGTAAATTGCACAAAGTGAAAATATAATAAGTCAAGTTAGCGGTCAGCTTTGGTAGTTACATGCACATGTAGTTGGTGTGTTCTAAAACACAATTTCTTAGGTCACAGTTTAAGTTTTTCTTTGAAAGCATTTTTGTGTGGTACAAAATCTCTATGCATTTGGATTGTTATAAGCAAATGACAAGTCAGTTTTTCAGTCAAAGAACATCACTGACCTCAATGGTTGACTTTTGGTCAGAGAATCTTCCTAAGTTTTCAGCCATGGCTTGTAGTCGCTGCTGGGCATAGTGTAGGGCTTGCTGCTGCTCAGTCAGTGATGCGTTGCTATTAGCAACTTCCTGACGCAGTCGGCGCTCCTGCATCTCAGATTGATGCAGCTGCTCATGAATGATGCATAGCTCACGGTCATACTGCCCCTGTGATTTCTGTAGTTTATCTTTAAGCTGTGTCCTGTAAAAGACATATTGATGGAAACAGTGTTTAAATAAAGATGCATGTAGAATAGATTATGGAAATTGCCATTCCACGTCTTGACACTTTGTGGGTAATCGAAGCCAAGAGGTACATGTACATGTGGTGGTAAGAAAATTTCTAAAACCACACATGACTTATTCTAAAAATACAGCTGTGGCAAGTATCAATTACCTTGTACTACGAGAGGAATTTATTAATCACTTGGTTTAGGAGAGAATTAAAACTTTTTGCTGTAGGTACATTTTTATTTCTGCAGGGATACCGGCCAGGTTGTTTTCCAAAGCCTGGAAATACAGCCAGAGAAGCCTAAATATACCCTGTGAAGTCCTGAAAGTAGCCCAAGCTTTGCAATAAAAAGCTGTAATGTTTTGTCAGAACACAAGCATCTCTGCTTTAGGTCATATATTACCAGGTATGGACACAGCTTACCTTTTCTGATTCAGATCCTTGACTACTGACTCTAAGGTCTCATTGCGGGCCAGTAACACCTTCATCATCTGTCCAAAGATTGTCTTCACTTGCTCAACCTGTTCTATCAAGGCTACACTGTTATCTGTTCTTTCCTTCAACACTTCCTCTGTGGTACATGCACTCTTGTTGGTTGATTTCTGTACAGAGATAAATGCACTACTTCCTGAAGCACCAATGGTGAGCTTGGTTTCGGGACTTGGGCTACGAGGCAGTTGTTTACCCGAGTTACATGGATTTTGCTCTGTTGCTGTGTCTTCATCATTGATATCTTTCTCTTTGGAGTGGACAGCACTAAGGATAGAGGCCACCAGGGAACTGGAAGGAAAAAGGGCTTCTGTTTGTGACACTGACTTGGTTTTGATGCCGAGTTCAGAAGCTGCTTGTGGTAGAGATGCCTCGTTACTCAACTAGAAAGAAAACAAAATATTTAATCAACTGTGGTCTACTTGTAGGGCTCAAAAATGTCTTCGTAGCTGTATTTAAGCTACATGCACCAGAGAGGCTGTGACAAATTCACAGACAATACTTGGCAATGCGACATAAGTGAAGAAATAACTGATCTAAAAGTGGTAACCTTAGTTTGACAGACATGTACACAAATATGAGATAAGTACATGTACAAGTAATGTAATACAAGTACATGTAAGCTCAGTCAGACCCATGCTAACATTGTTACCTAGAACAATTAAGATTCATGTATGATTGAACTGACTAATTGAACCCAAATTTTGTAATGTGAAACCTAGATGAATGAGGGGGTAAACTTTTTTTCCAATCTCAGGAATGCCTCAAGCTTTGAAGCATTGTACTACTTTGAATACAAGCAGCTGTATTAACATGACTGTGCTTCCATTACAGTCAAACATCATTAATAAGAGCACCGTTAATGCAGCATGCATCTCAAACAAGTGAATTTGTAGATCCCAACCCTTTGTTCTTCATTCTTTTCTTTCCTGATCATACAAGGTTTCTGCTATAACAAGGTACATGTACATGTAATGTGCAAAGTTTGAAGGATCTTTTATTAACTAGGTTTGAGTGTACACCATTTTTGTAAAGAATGTTAACATGCTCTAAAAAATGTGCATTTATATTAAGCCTAGACCCAGCGTAAAGCTGATATTCTTGTTCCCAACATTTCTAGTCAGGATTGAGACTAGTACATTACCTGCTCACGCTCTTTGCTTGTGTTGAGACAACTGTGTATACCTTGCATCTTCTGTAGTAGTGCTGCCAATCCATCAGAAGCGTCTCTCATCTCAGTAGCCTGGTTGAGTAGCATCCAATGAGCATGGGCCTTGGTGTTATCTAACTCACTCTGGCAGGACTGAAGCTTCTCACTGCAACAAAACCAGTTTTATAAAAAAGAAAAGCTCTTTATATGCACATAAAGCTTCAGTTGGATGGCTGATAGTTGTGCCAGTGAACTGTCTTTATGTTATAGTTTGATACAAATCAATGCCCAGAATATTTACAAGCTAGCTGTAATCTTTTCTTCCCCTTTTTTTTTTTACAATGAAATGTTTCTCACTAACCTTAAATTTTCTGTGGCACCTTTCCACTGTGATCCTACCTCCTCAGCATTGGATAGTGCCATTTTAAGGCGAGACAGTTCCAAGTTAGTGACTTGGAGTTGGTCTTCTACTTCACGGGCTGACTCAACAAGGGCCACTCTCTCCTCCTCAAGGAATTCAATGCTTTCCTTGAACTGCTTGCGAAGGGTCTGTAATGATGTCAATGTGATTTCAAGTACATGTATTAAAAAATTCGACAAAACCAAGTCATGCCTGCATTGGTGTTCACTTAGGGTTATGCTTTCTCAAATCACTCAATGTGGGAATGACTTACAGATACTGAGGAAATCAAGTTGGTGCAATGATACATGTACTTTTCTCCCCTTCCACCTCTGTAATCTGGGATCAAGCCCAGGCCAGCATTGAGTATTTAGTCTGTACATCCGACTCCACATATGTAGGTTTATCCGGAACATTTGTTTGCAGTTTTCCTACAACCTCTTTTTCCCCAAAAGCCCCCATGGAGAACAATTTATGACTAATTAATAGGGCTTTAGCCTATACCCTTCAACCTTAAACCCAAATCATAGGAATTCAATTTTACCTGCATCTGGTTTGCCATCCTTTGTGCATCTACTCTTGCCTCTCTATTCATCTCCAACTCTGCCTTCAAATTGTCAAGTTCCTTTACTTGTTGATTTAATATCTCATTATTTCTTTCAAGCTCGGACTGCAGCAAAGCAATGAGATCTTGGCTTGCAGAAAGTTGCTGCTTCATGCTAGAAATAACATCAAGGAGTCTGTAATGAACAAAAGCGTATGACAGAAAAGATATGCCTTGACACCACTGGACTTATTCACAGCTTGTGGTAGACTTAGAGCAAGTGCCGATGTGCAAGCTCCACACATCGGCACTTTGCACAGTGTTGATGCAAGCCTCACACATCGGCACTTTGCACAGTGTTGATGCAAGCTCCACACATCGGCCCTTTGCACAGTGTTGCACTCTTGTCACAACTGTGGAAAGTCTTCTAAATGTCAAGGTGATTCTTGCTGGAAGATAACATTGTGTGCTAAAGGAAAGGTACCATCAACAGTTGTCTCTCCCAATGAAGACTTGTGAGAACAGTAATTGTTCTCACACCCAAAACTGTTGAGGACATTGCTAATGAGGCTGAGAGTGTTGAAACAATTGCAGAACCTTGCATAATGAATCGTTTATCTGCAGATGATGAATGCTTCCATGAAGTTGAGAATATTTCTTGTAAGTCTTGATAACTGTTTCAATAAAGATGCCCTTACTCAAGCCACAAAGCTTCGAGAATGAGTTTAAGAGTGTTGGATTTAATGCAACATAATGACGTACATGTAGACTGCACTGTACTGCTTCATACCTCGTGTTCTCCAGCATTAGATTCTGAATGTTGACTTCTGTCTGTGATTTGAACACTTCCACCTCTGCCACACAATCTTGCCACTGTTTACCCTGAAGAGCTAAGGCAGCCTCCATGGTAGACTCTTTCAGGAAGTAATTAATGCTTTCCTGTCGTAACTCCTCATTCTTGGTTTTGGAAGTCTCGTAGTTATCTTTATAATCAAGTAATTCTAGTTGAGGAAAAATTAATACAGCTTGAAAAAAAAACCTACAAGGAACATCTTTGCAAATTAACCACTTCATGCCGGGCATTTTTCAATGTTGATGATGCTGGGCCGGCATGACTATCATTTTTTCCGTTTCCAAAATCCTTCAAAAATTCATCATTTCATTTAACGGTCGTTCATAGCCGCACGAAGTAATCTTTAGGCACTACT